TATTTTGCTCTCGGGAATGGAGAACGACAAGTACGTCGGTTCCTTTGGGTTCTTTATTTGTTTCTTGGGACTTCTCATGTTCATGACAATCTTTTTTGTTGTGCAGATATTCCTTCTCGGGAAACAGCTCCACCCCCTCGGTCGCTGGTCAACTTTGCCGACCTAGTAACAGTTTGGAGCTTCACGGGCGCCGACGGATTTGGCCGAGCTGCCCACAATCTGCTGCACTATACCCCCGGGTATAAGAAGTTTTCACAGCTCCCTCAACCTTTCGAGCCTTCGCAGTGGTCAGAGCTCTTTGATCAGGCGGCGAGGCTAGAGGTCGAGCAAAACTTGGAGGAAGACCCGGATCGGGCTTCAGAGGGAGAGGTAGAGGGAGTTGCTGAGGAGGTCGGGGTTAGAGAGGACGTTGCTCCTTCGGACGCCGAGGTGGGGACTTCGGGAGGCGACTTGTGGCCCGATTTTCAAATTCTCCAATCTTTGGACGCCGAAGACGCTCTCGAGGAAGCGATGTCCAACGCCCCTCGCATCAATTTGGGGTTTCTTAGGCAGAGGCAATCCCTCGCAGCCGGGAGAGGTCGAGGGACGACCGGCGGTACTCCGGCAGGAACCAGTTCCGCCAATTCTTCGAGGGCTCCCGGTCAGGGTCAGGTGCGAGACCGGGATCCTCAGATGGAAGAGGAGAGAAGGGTAAAAACATCGGCATGACGGCCTCAGCCGGGGACCCAGGGCATCTCCCGCTCAACCTCAAAGCGGGAGGGATCGTGGATTACCGCCTGCTCCCCCTCAACAGCAACAACAACAGCAGCCCCGACAACAGCAACAGCAGCAGCAGCAGCAACAGCAACAACAGCAGACCCCTCCTCTCGTTCCGCCTCGGGGGGAGGCCGCAGAGTGGAATCCCCGAGCCACTGATCACATGAACAGAGTGATCAGGGTCGATGATTCTATTCTGTCGGATCCTTATGTCGCTAATGCAGTGAGTGAGACACTGCATTTCGAGGCCGACATGGAGGCTCATAGGGGGCGATCAACCAACGTGTTGTTCCGTTCCATCATCCAGAATTCCCTGATGGTGAGTTTATTTTTGCTTTGGTTTCTTCATTCTTGTTTTCCATTTTTTAGTAAATAAATTAGTTTAGATTAGACCTAAAAGTGTCATTGAAATATAGAAGTAGAGATAAAGTTTTTCAAATTTTTAGGGGGCAAATTGTGAAAACTTATAAATTTATAAAAAAAAAATTAAAATTGCACCAGGGCAGTTGCCCTCACTGCCCCCCCAATGTAAATCCATCCCTGTGTACTTTATTTAATATTGGAACTCACAATTAATCCGATGACTATATTGAATTAAGTCTTTGACTAGGTGCATGCCCAAATTAATGAAATTATCAATGATTATAAGGTGCAATACTTAAACCAATGAAAATATTATTTTTAGATCTAATTTGATAATTTAATATGGATTATAACTGTTGAATTGAAAGTGTATTTCATCTAATATTAAAACTCACAATTAATTTAATAAATGTTAAAACTAGGGGTCGGCCCTTCCATTGTACATGCGCCCATGCATGATTGGTGGCTAAGTTGAAATGTATTCCTTAAATTTTTGGAGGACAATGATACATATAACAGTAAAATTATACTTACAAAGTTTTTTATCTCAAGTAATGTGACATAATGTCTATCATTAAGTATTAATAGAATCCACTTATTTAATAGTAAAAACTGTGTCACATTATTTGAGATGAAAATTTTAGTAAGAAATATTGGTCAATATAACATTATTATACATATAATGACACGAGTGTTTTTCCATGAAGGACACGATGATTATTTTTCTTTTTCGCATTTTTGCATTTTTGCATTTTTGGCCGCATGGTGAATATTTTTTTGCATGTTTGGCATTTTGGTATAGTAGTAATCGTGTCGTGTCAATTATATTGTATCATATTATTTATGAATTTGTGTTGAGTATTGACTCAACTTATTTATTTTTATGTTATATTTGGGTTGACTCATATAATCTATAAATTAAAATTTTAATACTAATATGTAAGTTTAAGATTTTATTATTTTTTATCGAACTCAGGCTTTTAGTTTTTTTATAAACTAAAAATTAATTTACAAAATATAATAATAAAAATAAGTACAAACATCGTTTTTTTTTGTACAACTATTATATCAATACTTAATTAAAAGATGACAAAAAATTGATATTTTATTATCATAATATTGGTCAAACGTATTAATCGTGACAATTTTACATTATTCGTGTCGATCCAAAATTCTTACATCCCAAAATTTCTTCAAATTTTTGTAATCATATGTCACCAACCATATACGAGTGGATGCGGCATTTAGAAATAGTAAATCTCATTTGAATTCATATAATACATAGTTTATTAAAATTATATATTTAAAGTCAAAGCTATTATTTCAATCGTTTTTAATTTCACTTTTAAAAGGTGTAGTTTGATATTTAAAAATTATAATTTTTATAATTAATTATCATATTTTATGATCAATCATATCCTTGACAGTTATGACTATTAAGTTCGAAAAGTCATAGCTTTTACTTTAAAAAGTTAAACTTTCGGGATAATACATATCTTAATACTGTAGTTATCTTCTATGTTTGAATGACTGATGCTTTTCTATTACTTTCTTTGGTATTTTTAAATGATTGTTACAACTTGCAGTATGAGTAATGAAATTAAAAAAAATACTAAAATGAAATTAAGAAAATATTAAAATACTTTCGCCATGGACAGCCTTTGTTTTATTTATTTTTTGAAAACAAGGATAATATAACCATTTATTTTGCCAATAATGACATATGCAAAACTATCACTGTCGTCTATCGTCGCCCATTATCACTATTGTTGCCATCGCCCAGTATCACAACTTACCACCATCCGTTGTTGTCTACTATCGTCGTCAGCCACTATCATCTACTTCCATTGCACCTATTACCACCAACTACTGCCACTCGTCATCACCCACCACCGTCGCCACTCCTTATTACCTACCCCACCATACCTACCACCACCATCACAATCGTCATTCGTCACCACTTATCATATTGTTGTTCAAAAACACTCGTCGTCACTCACTCCACCATCATCATTGACCACCACCGCCACTACGAATCACCATTATCATCGTCCACCATTACCACCATCGTCACCCACTGTTGTCATAATTACGACGATCGTCTCCGCCCATCACCATTACCACCCACCATCACTATCAATGTTCACCCTTAATATAATCAGTGTTTAAATTTTTTTCTTTATCCTGTATGTTTGTGATTTAATTTTGAATGTGAATACAAATATATTTATTATTAATTATTTTTTTATTATTTTATGCATTCAAACACGGATAATAACTAATCGATATATATGTATGTTATTACGAATAAATTAAACTTTATACCTTTAGTTGTCCTTTAAACCAACAAAAACACGCCTATCCTTATTAACCTAAAAGTCCATAGCTGTAGGTCAGCTGACAACCTTTCAAATGAATAACTAATAAGCACAGATCACATGCCAATATGCCATTGGAATCTTAAGACACAACTGAGCATGACTCAAGGAGTAGATATCCTGACCTAGTACAAACCAAATCATTTAGTATGTTTTTCGCATAATATCCTGTTTGGTAGCCGGTGCATGTCATCCCCATGAGCAAAATCTTGGATCCCTTGTCCTAAAATGCCTCACAAGCATTTACATGACAATACAGAATAAGGTGAAGATGTCCTCAAAAGAAGGTAAGATTATGATATAAACAAATACTTTTTTAATATGCATTTTCATTTTGTACTCCCCAATATTACGTTCAAATTGCGCTTTTAATGTATTAAAAATAAGAGCAAAACTATTGAGATCACATTTACTGAAGAAAAATGCTACATAATCCAAATAAAATTCAAAAATTAAAACTTAAATGTATATCAACCCTTAAATGAGTGTGAGGTGAGTGGACTATACTGAAAAAATTGTTGGGATTCACTCATTAAAGGGATAATATGCATTTGAGTTATAACTTTTTGAGTTTTATTTGGGTTTTGTAGCATTACTTTTTACTGAATAATTCATAATGACATTTGGATTGATTGTGGATTTATCAAACATTGAAACTTGATGTTGATTCAATAGTTATATGATATTTAGATTGATTGTGAACTCATCAAATATTGAAACTTGATGTTGATTCAATAGTTATAATAAAGTCGTATCACTATATCAACAAATTAAATTAAATTTTTTAAATTCAAATAACAACACTCTTAAAATATTATAACATGGTCTTTTCGTTAATTTCTATTACTTATTCCTTCAATGTTCACAGGGTGATTTTTGACATAATAAATAACAGAAATTAATAAAAAAGTCACGTTGTAATATTTTAACATATTAAATATATATTATGAAAAATTAATCTCTAACAGTACGAAGCAAAAAATCTTTCGAGGTGTACAATGAGATTCCCTTGGTAATAACATGGAACCAATTTTTCTCCATGTAAACCCATAACTCCGCAACCAAACAAACCCTTACATGCATATCCGTTTGAATTTTTCCCCGAAAGCAGGCTCGATACAAATTACAATCCCACGTACATATCTCTTCAAACAATCAAGGCCCACCTGGCAGGTTTTAAAAGATTCTCAAAGCCTTAAAATTATGACGAGTAATGTTAAATAGATTTAAAAAATAGACTTAAAAATTAAACTTAGTAATTTTAACTATTGAATAAATAGTGAGTCTCAATAAATGCTGGAATCTACAGTGAAATTAATGGTTGAGATTATCAAATCTAATTTTTAAGTCCATATAGCATTGTTCAATTATGATCTGTCCTTTCCCGATCATTTTCTCTCCACCTCAAACTTCTTCGCTTTGCTATATATTTCTGATCCACTTCACGTGGGATTTTCTTTCTGCAGTAAATTTTCTTCACTGGATTTTTGGGTCTGTATATTCATGGCTATGACATTGAAATCAAGGTCATGGTTCTTCCAGCAACGTGATGGTGAAGATTGGGCACCATTTTGCAATCTATGGAGCCAAACAAATCTTCTTTGGAGGAAGAACTTTGATTTGATGAGGAATGTTGGGTGTTTGGGAAAGGAGAGAAGTGAGAAGAAAAGGTTGTTTCTCAGGTGCTGTAGTAATGGCAGCTGTGGAAATGGGTGGAATTCAATGGCGGAAAATGAGAATTTTGTGAAGATGATGAGAGAAGCTGAGCCATATTTTCGGGCACATAGAGGCAGCACATTCGTCCTCGTATTATCTGCAGAAATTGTTGACAGTCCTTTCTTGGGTTCCATACTCGAGGTATCTCTCTCTCTCTCTCTCTCGCTGTGAGTATGTTAATTATTTGAGTCTGATGGAGCTGGAGGGAGAAAAAAATACAATCAATATGATACGCAAGGAGAGAAAGGAAATTAAATCCCGAATCAGAAAAAGAGAGAGAAGAGGAAATATAATGGGGAAAAAGGTAGGAAAAGAAATCCATTTTGCTTCCTTTTTTTTTTCTTATTTGATGGGACAAAATAGATAGAGATTAGAAGAAAAGAAAAGAAAAGATAGAAGAAATTGCTAATTTTTACTTGTTTTCTCTTGTTTGATAGATTGGTGGTGAGAAAAGAAAAGGAAAACACTTTTTCTTATTCGAGAAAAAAACTTCTAAGAACTTTGGTTATGCTTGCATTTTTTTTTTCTTCCCTAACAAAGAAAACTCACTCTATATCTATCACGTGATTGACGCGTGACCAGAACTGTCAGGAGTTTTTAACAAATGTTTGAGATTGAATTATATAGATATAAATCAAAAATTTTATGGACTAAATAAACACAATCAAAATATTAGACACTAAATATACATAGACTTTACTCACCCACTGTCAGACTATTCTACTGGGCGGCGAAACTATTAAAAAAAAATCAATCAAGTATTTTATTTTTGAAAAAGAACGGCTAGCAAGAAAGTTAGCACTAAAGGGACTTTATATTTATTTAATGCTTGTGCATTTTCTTATCGGCACCAACAACCAAGCAGTCAAAGATTTTCAGGGATTTGTGTTATTGCTTGGTTTACTAATTTCATATTTTCTAGTTGGTTCGGTAAAAATCTAAATCTAAATCATTGTCTTTTAAATTTTTTCCATTCTTTTGCCATATCATTCGTGAATTATAATATTGTAAGAGCTTTGAAGGGCACATTATTTCTCAAACTTGTTTGTGTCAAGGACAGTTCTATGTTTCGTTTCCAATAATACACACATGACATGAAGACATTTTTCCCACTTTCATTCTCGTAATCGTCTTCATTCTCATTATTTTCTTCATTTCATTCTACATTGGCATAATCACTTGATACATATTCTTTCATATCACTACAATATAATATACCATTCTTTGAGAAATTATGACAAACATAATAAATGCGAATATATTAATCAAAACTCCGAGTATTCAATGCCTAAATGTCTTATCAAAGTATGTTGATTATGCACTTGTACGCAATATCAAAGAAAGTATTCCAACAAATAATATTATAATAACCAATGTTTATATATATGTTAAACTTTGCCAACAGAAACAAAGATTATCTGGGTATAAAATTAGTGGATGAATATGAACTATCGATATTACTAGAAAGTTGAATATTGATTAATTTTGATTCGTTGGTGAGTTAGACACAAACAGAGAGATGGACGAACAAATTAAAAGATGAAATGAAGGTATTAACCGGTGAAATGAAGGTATTAACTGGTGAAATGAATGAGAAAAAAGACTGAGACTAGGTATTGAAGGATATAAAAACGATTGAAAGGCTAATAAAAAGGTAAATGAAATGTAAATTCAAATAAAATATGAATTGAATGAAATTTAAATGTTGTAGGGAGGTGGTCACCATAGTGCTTTATCGAATCAGAAAAGTAAAAAGACACGAAAAATATCTGATTTGTCGCAGGCCCCGGTCAAGTGAATCTTTGTGATGTTTCTTTTTCTCCTCTATTCTACCCTTAGCCAACTAGCTCGGCTAAGGCATGCTCTTGATTCTTGTCGCTCATGCCTTTAGCTTGTTCGAAGTTGGGCCAATCGATTCAAATAAAGACAGTTCATGACTTGCTTGTTGGGTAGACAGACAGTAGTGAACTTGTAACAAATTATCCCTCAGGTCGGATCTAAATGGTTGGGTTGTGCTTGGTAAAAATATTTCAATAGACTCTTTTCTTTTTCTTTTTTTCTGTTTATTTCCTATTTTGACCTTGAGCTAATCAAGCATATTTTGTTAAAATTGCGTGACTGTGACATTAAACTGTCCTCTCTGTTCTACTATCTCTCTCACTCACCTCTTCCTTCAATTATTTTCTTTGTCCTCTCAATTCTATTCCATTATTTCTCTCTCCTCTCTCTTCCATTAATCCATCTCTTTCCTCTTTTTTTTAGACCATTATTTTTGTCTTATCTCTCTTCCTGGTCGTTATCGTGTATATGTTATTTAAATTTTGTCTCTTTCTTATCTCTTTTATC